AAACTAGGTAGATAACAAGCCCTTTCCTCTTTGTTCTTCATCCTACACACATTCAGGCAGAGATCTAAAGGACAAGTGTACTCAAGTTTGTATAAACACAAGTTCAGTTATCTATGAGATCTAGGACCATGCTAGGTCATGAATCATATGGAGAACTGTATTCAACTTCAAGAGAATGCAAGAATAGCTGCCCTTCAGCTGAAGGCATGAAAGCTGGGCAGAGAAAGGAATAGAGCTAGTATGCACATTCTTTTCATTATCTAGTCTGAAGGCATTGGTTGAATTTCTGAAGGGAGCCAATCATCTGAATAGCAGACAAAAAAATAGAAAGAAAACTCTTAGTCAGAAGACTAAAGCTGTTGGTTAACAGACTAAAAATGTATGAGATGGATTTATTGGAAAAAAAACAAGGAAAAAGAACGGTTGAAAGACAAGTCCAGCAGAAAAAGGGGATATGGAGACAGGAGGGCTATATATCAATAGTAGAAAGAAACATTTTGTAATGTTGAACATATTTAGGAAAGAAAGCATTCTAGCATATCTGCTATTACACTCATGTGTTTCTTATACTGTGTGAGGATGGATGGATGGATGGATGGATGGATGGATGGATGGATAGATAGATAGATAGATAGATAGATAGATAGATAGATAGATAGATAGATAGAATTTGACAACTTTTAATATAAAACACTGGGATCTCTGGTTCATGACCTTGGCCATTACAGAAAATTTCCACTACTGTCTCTGTATTGTCTGTATTCTATACTACATTTTAAAAATCTTAATCCTTTTTATTTTTGTATTTTAAAAAGATTACATTTCACCGAAAATTCAGCAAAAAGAACTGTGCAAGCCACCCAAATTGAAGCTACATCAATATGCAATATCTGTAGGTTCTGCTATAAATATCAAACTAAGACAGAGGAGGAAAACCCACTCATTTGTACATAGCCATTAATGCAGCCTATAAAGCAAGAAAGATATATACGATAAGGGATAGCACTCTATTCTCAAGGGAATTAAATTCTAACAGCATTTCTTCGCTTGAATGAGAAAGTGCAAGACAATGAAAGCAGTAGCTTCAAAAAAGAAGTGAAAACAGCAGCCCACTGAATTAGATTTCATTTAAAAGGCAAACTCCTGTGTATAGGTAATCTTTAGAAACAAAAGGTTTTATCCTTCTTTATTAACACAAGTACAATGTAAACTAATCAGAAAAAGATGATCCCAGCAGAATATTTTAGTTTGCAAGAGAGAAAGAGACCAATTCCAGGAGCATTAAAGTCCTTGTCACAGACTATCATGGTTAAGATATAGAACCCAACGTGAAACTATGCAGATATATGTTTTAATTAAATTTAAAAGGAGTACTAAAGTTTGGCTCCAGAAGAGCCTTCCTCCATCAGAAGTAAGAAAGCTGAAATGATCAAGATTTGTAGAGGCTCCAATGCAAGAAAACAAGATCTTCAAGCATTTTATCGAGCAGCATTCTTACATGTATATTTTACCTTATTTATTGAATAACTGCTATTTCATATGGAAATAAATATGATGCATATGCTCATATTAAGTGGAGCAGATACCATCACACTACTCCAGTTTATCTCCAGTGGTGTAGTGGTTAAGGTGCTGACCTAGAAACCAGGAGACTGTGAGTTCTAGGCCATCCTTAGGCATGAAAGCCCGCTGGGTGACTTTGGGCCAGTCCAAACCACCTGGCAGGCTTGTTGTTATGGAGGAAAAGGAGGCAAGAGTATTAAGTATGTTCACCACCTCAAGCTATATATAAAAAAGGCAGAATAAAAATATCATCCTCAGCAGCAGCAGCATGGCGATCTTGTGATAGAGCATTCTTTTTCGAATTCAACCTAGCTGCTATTATGATATAAATTTTGCTTATATGTGTGCAGTTTAAAATCTCAATCTCTTTGTTACACTGAGTATATACTCAGGAAGGGAATCCAAGGGAACAAATAATTCCATCCTGGTATGTAGAAAAAATATGGCCATGATACCACATGCTGTTTTCCATCCAAATCCTACCTCCCAATTGAGATTATTAAAATTCTGGCAATAAAGAGTTTATATCTTTATATATAAGCATAAATATACTTATATAATGAAATGTAGGAACGTGTATTTATAGTAGCCTGTCCTACCGTCAGTGAGTTAGAAGCTGACTAGATATGTTAATTACCTTGGTACATCTGATGAAGAAAAATACAGTTCTCAACCAGTGGAAGGATTGATTGATTGATTGGTTTTGTAGCGCAGAGAGCAGCTCCACATAATAACTTTGGCAAAAAAAGAAAGTTCAAATCTTTCCTTTCTCACCTACTAAAATTGTCAAAATACATAGATACAGTATATCCAACAGCATTTCTAGTTTGGTCAACATTTCTCAATCTATCAGCTAATCATTAAATGATCTTCTGACCACTTATGGCCTGCAATATTAACTCTTTCTGAAGAAACACAAACCCCCATCAACAGTAATAGCCTGAAAAATGAAAAACCTCACATTGCCAGTTCACCAGTGAAAAGACTGGAAAGCAAAATACTGAAATTATATGCTGAAAACAGAATGCTAATATTCTGAAAAAAATATACTTATACTTCTCTGTATGAAATAGAACACTGGTTAAGATCTTTGAGGTCCTATCAGATGGCATTCTTGTAAAGATGGAACCTGGAGAAAGTTGGCACTATTCAGCCTGATTGGATGAACATAAGGGAAGGGGATCTTATAGATTGCCTAGTTCAGAACCAAAGAACTATGACACTTAATCTATGCAATTCCTTAACCTTCATTTGTCAGATCTTTCAAATACTAATTGAGCACTTTTGTTCTTCAGGCATTTAGAAGGAATTAATGCCCTATAACTTGATATTCTTCTATTTTAAAACTGGATAGGTATTTGTTTTAATTCTGCTGCCCAGCTTTCATGATTCCTCTTTTGTATTTTTCTGTTATTTTAATTTAGAAGTCATATTTAAAGAGAATTATCCTCACCCTCTCATCCTTGTTCCAAATTATACATACATACATACATACATACATACACACATATATATTCTTTAATAAAATCATATTTTGTGTATTTTTTTTGTGTGTGTGTATCTATATATCTATATATCTATATCTATATCTATATCTATATTCTTTAATAAAATCATATTTTGTGTATTTTCAACATAGTCATATTAAAATAACAATGAATAACAATTAGCATTGTAAATCCCCACTATTGCCTTAGTACTGTACAATTTGTTATTATATACTGTCCCATATATCATCTGTTCCTCTTGCTAGCCTATTCAATAAGAGACAGACAGCTGCAACACTATCTCCCCATTCAACATAAGGACCATCTGACTCTAATTGTAGTACACAGCTTGATGTGGGTCTGGTTATGAGAAGCCAAAGTATCACAGTGTAATAATCCAGAAAAGCAGAGGCCTGCCAAACACAGGACTGAAACAGAGGCTTGGGCTGTCTAGTTGGCTGATGGGACAGAGGAAATATGATTAATGAGCAAGGTATAATGATATCAGGAACCCGATTAGCACCACAAAAAGGTCACAGATCAAAGCAGTATGCATTTCCAATCACTGCAGAAAAATCTGTACAGTGTATTGAAAGGGGAAAAATGCACGTTGTATCTTACAAAATGGCCACTTAAAAGTACCATAATAATTTATAATTATCTAGTTAATTGCAAAGATAAATATAGAACAACTCTTTTTTCAAAACAGTTCAAGAAATGAATGTATTACATTTTTTATCAAAGTATTCCTTTTTAAAAATTTATTTCCCTTACTTACATTTTTGTAATCCTATAAAATACAAATCAGACAACTTATTAAAACAATCAATGCTACTGTGTAATTCCAAAATCATAATATATTTTATATAACATCAAAAGTAAACAGTGGTTATGTAATTATTTATTATATTCCAGTATATTTGCAGGATATTACTTGGAAAATTCCTACATTGGGACATTTAACATTTTTGTAAATATTTATATAGTGAATTGTGTGAAATTATATAATTACAGAGAAAAACTTATCATTGTTGATTTCTGTCCGAGGATTGCTTTCCTAAATAGATACTATCATTTGCCCTAATATGGCAGCAGGGTAAAAGGGAGAGAAATGAAGTATTCCAGGAATCTGTACAAGTCAGAAATTCAAGTATTGTATATGCAAGAAAGAAGCACTCCCACTTGTTGCTCTACTCCTAGTTTGAACCCAACTACTTCTACCGTGAAATTACCCCCCAATCATCTGAACTGTCCTGAAAGCAGTTCTTAAGGATTTGGATGGGAAGTTTTCTGTTCACATTCACACTATATTCTTCCAAATTAAAACAGCAGTAAATGGCCTCCTGTACTACCTTGCCTAAAGAAGAGATTTGACTCTCAAAAAATTCTTCCCATTTATTTGAGGAATTCATTAGTTTTTACTGTTTCTTTTCCATATGCACATTAATATGGTTTTCTAAAAACACGTGTGTGCATGTATGCATATATGCTTTAAATAAAATCTTATAATAGAGTTTCCTCCTTTTTTTTCTTAAGCGGCACTAATATAATAGCTAATGAGTTATGTAAAGATATGTACATTTTAAGTATCTTTCACTATTTTACTAGAGACTTAAATAATAATGATAGCTAAATTCTGAGAAGCCAAGAAAGGTATCATAAGATATCTAAATATTGAATTGAGAAAGTACTAGGAGGAAAGTTACATTAAAATATCAACAAAAGTTCTGTCAGTGTGGTCAACACATTTTGCCATTTTAATGATACAATTAAAAATAAGCATCAAAATTTAAATTAAAAATAAATGTAAAATATTAGGCATTCCCAGTAGACCTACAATAGCTATTTTCATTCCAAGCTACATAAATTCTAGCTTTGCATAGAAAAAAAATGACATTCTTTGAGAAAGAATCATATCTTAAGACATTCAATATTTGATTTCTGTCTTACCAATCTGTTCATACGAACAAATTCTTCTGGGGTTTTGGCCCATGGTGGAAGTTCAACATCAGACACCACTGTTCCATCATCCATCACTCCAAGATTGTAATTATTGAAGTTGACAAACATCTCAGGTAGATAATAAAATTCAGGAACAAGTTCCTATATGAAATAAAAACCAGTGACATATAATTAATTTGGTTATCACAGAAGTCATCCAATTAAAAAGAGACAGTGGATGTAACAGAAAATATTTTCACTTTCCACTTTGTATATATGATAATATTTCCACTTTACATCCATTAAATGTTGCAGAAAACTTGCCCATAGTGGTAAAAAAATACAATACTTTGAAATGTTGAATGAAAGAATATCAGATATATTTAAGTATCTAGACACAGTCTAATCTGAGATTAGAGCACTAAAATGTAGTATTTCTTAAAATAATGGAAGCTGTAACATTTCAAATTCATAATATATTCTTTAACTTTTTTCTAAAAAATGTCATGTTTAGAAACATTAGATATCCACTAGAGTATATTGTAAATTGTGTACCCATTATATTCTGGTGTGTATCTGATTTCAAAATCAGGTTCAGGAAAATGTGTATAAATGATCAGTTCATGTCCTCTGAATAGATTGAAGATATTAGATATTATTATCCTTGCCATGTCTATGTGAGCAGCACTGAGTAATATACCCAACTTGGCAGTGGAATGAATTTAAGAGTATAACATGCCACAATAAGGTATAGCACACTTAGAGTTTACTTGCAGATTAATAGTTGCACCAACTTTTGGGAAAACTGGTTATTACAGTGATAATGTATAGGACTGTCTTTTAAAACATTTAGAATGAATAAACTTCTATTAAAGCAGTTTCCTTATCAATATTAGCCATAAAGATAGTTAAACACTGGATAACTTTAAAAAGTGTCAGTCAAAATGTATTACATAGAGATGAGCTAAAAAAATAATAATTAACTGACACAATTAGCTAATCAATTAATAAGAAACTGGATTGGGCCCAAAAATTCTTACTCAATTTGTGGAAGATTTATTCTGTGATCAATTCCATTCAACTTCATTTAATTATGATTTATTGATAACTAGAAGTTTATCTATTCTTTGTAAATTAGTTTGAATTGCTATTTTCCATTTCAATAATATATATGTATTCTAATTTAAGAAATGACCCAACCCAAGTTCTCTTATGTAACAGTTATTTTGTTATTTATGACACCATACATAAAGCTGCACATCATAAACTCCATTTTACAGTACATTGATTGTCTAAAAATTCAGGTAGTGGAATTAGGCTATGTGTTTGACTTTCTATAATTCCCTCTTCCTTTGGCAACTCACTGCACCACCTACATCCATTTCAGGAGGCCTCTAGGGATATGAGAGAATAGCACCGGAGAAGGAAAAATAGATAATTGTCCTTTCTCCATTATACCAGTGCATATCTGTAGGTATAATGGCCACACTGTCTATAGATGTTGTTCTGTACATGAATATGTGCAACAGACTTAACACTAACTTGTCTTTAGATTTACATGAAAGAGCCTTGCAGCTGATTTTTGTTTTGTTATAATACAGTATATAAAATATAAAAATTTGCTTGCTTTCACTTGATTGTCACATGGTGTTATACTTAAATTATACTCTGTAATTAATATAAATCAGGGCTTATTGACAGAAGTAATTTTCATACCCATAAATTAAAATTGTTACTAAAAAAACAAAATAAAACAAAACATAATTAAGACTATACAGATTTTGCCCAAGTTCAAACATAATGCTGAATTGCATTAATTTAAACATATGAGCAAAAATGTTTACATCTGAATAGAGCTAATTGTCCCTATGCTTTTTAGATTGTGGCCAAGAGGTTTCATTTGTAATGAAAAGTTAATAGAAAAATTTCAAAATATTAATTAAAACTTTAAATATTAAATTAAAATATTAAATAACATAAAATATCAAAATATTTTAAAATATTACAATATTAGTTACTTAAAATTTCCTATTAATGTTGAACTTTCATCCGCGGTCTTCTTATTCATTTTATATATTCATACTGAATGCTTCAAATGATTAAAAAAACTTCTCAATGTTATTAATTTGATGTATTAAAATGTTAAAATAAGGTACTCAAATTGAAACTGATTAAATAGCCAAACAGTTATTTCTGTAGAATATAAAGATTTCATCATAGCACAGTCACATTACAGTAAGATTACAGTAGTGTGTGCCTATCATTTTCCTAATAAAAATGTGGTATACTTCAATACATTTAATCTGGAAAATAAAAGTAAGTAAAATAGTCACTGTTGTTATTGCTTGTCTATTTCACATATTTATCAAGATAGAAAAATATTTTTTATTTGTTGTTATTAATAGATACCATAATGAAACATCATAGAAATGTTTACAAAAACAGTTAAATTAGGCAAAGCAATTTATTCTTCTGGGAATTCTATAAATTTCTTGTAACAAATACTTCATGAATGAAAAGACTTAATATCTGTAATTGCTTTAGGAAATTATTTCATTGCAAGTAAGTGGTGTAAAATTGGTCTTTCTTCCAACAAGTGAAAACTACTTTCCATTTAATAAGCAGAAAACCACATTCTGTGCATTGGCCCCAGTGCTTAACGATGTTAGAGGCCCAGTGTATCAGATTCTAAATCCACTCTTGACATGGGTCAATGGATCAGTGGTCTTCCAGATACCACCCTCAGGGTCAACTATGGCAAGAACAGTTTCCAAATAGCTGAGTGCAATAGCAGGTCATCAGATTATAGACAAGGTCAGCGTAGAGTTACTAGAGCAAAAGCAGGAAAAATGAAGCAAGAATTAAGCTATTATCACCTCAGACCTTGTGAGAAAACAGCACAGCTATGCCTGTCGAATATTTGTATACAGGCATGTGAATTATTCTAAAACAAGATACAATAATAAGAGGCAATGCAAAATGCCTCTTTAAAATAAACTGCCAGAAATGTATGTGGAAGTATCTCATGGGCTAAACAAGAGAAGAAGAATATTTAAATGTATTAAATTTAAAAAGAATATATACTTGATTTAATATAATGCAAAAGAAATAATACAAATTGTTCTTGGTTTAACTTAACGTTCTCTTATTAACCAAATGTCATACAAAGCTGAATATTTTAGTCATGAATGCATTCCACATTATAATCTAGGAAATGATATCCATTTGGTTATTTCTAAGAGAACTAACATCCATCTTTGGATTCAGAAAGTTTCAAAGGTATCTATTATTATAAATTATAGATAAAAGCCTTACCAACAGCTGCCTTTTCTAAAATCATTCCAGTTATTACTTTTCAGACAAATTAGCAAGCAAAAAAAAAAAAAAGTTTGATCTAACCTGCCAGTAATGATATAGCTTTGGTTGCATTTACACCAAGGCTCAATTCAGTAAAATAGTGAGTAATCTGATGTAAATAAAATACCATTAAATTTATCAACCAGAGCTATAAAGACTTTGAAAATTATTTGGAAGAAGTACTTTAGACATACAAGCACATTTGCTCTCTTCCTTTCATTAAAGCAGCCACACCTTTTTGAGGCTTCTGCATGAGCCTGAAAAAGGATGCCATTGCTTTAAGAGTCACTTTAATGTATTAGCTTTTCAAAACAGTGAAATCTTTTTTCAAGTTCATGCAGAAACCTGCAAAAGTTTATAGCTGTTTCAATTTTTGGCAGACAAGTTGTGTTTGTGCTTATGTGAGATCCAAAGGAGTTCTTCCAAAACATTTCCAATAATCCAGCTCAAGGATTATTAACTGCTATGTAGCATTTCTGATACAGTGTTTCTACGTAACATTTTGTATCTCTCTGAATGTTTAGAGGGAAGAAGACAATCTGAAAGCAATTTGATGAATGAGGAAACACAAGTTTCCTGTTTCCCCTGCTCTTTTCCCATGCCAGTTACTCCTCTAGAAAGAAGTTTTCTTTTTGTAAATGTTTCACATAGTTGTTAGAAATTTACACCTATTAATAAAGAAAGGACAGGTTCCCCTGGAGAAAATGTGGTAGCTAAGAATCAAGCCTGACTTAATGTTACTTAATCATTGTCAAATTTTTAAAAAATGCACAAATCAATTTTCAATGTCCAAATAAATTAAAAAGCAACTATGTTTTATATTAGGGTTAAAGAATCCCAAGCTCACTTTTAATAACATATCTTCCACATTTTCCTATGTTAAGGACTACACCTTACAAATTTGTGATGATCTTTTTTCCAGCAAACAAATCACAGAACTGCAAATAAGTTATTCCTAACACATACACAGACACACAACTTCAGCCTCCAACTCCTTTTTAAAGAGTTTTTGTACCTCAAGTGTCGAACGAATCCTTAGTACTTGCTTTCAAACTTTTTAGTTTTTTGTTTTTTCTTCCCATTTTATTTGCTGTAAAGTTTGTGACCTATTGCATATTGTTTATATGACTACTTTTGTAGACGACTCTAAACTTATGTGTATTAAGCATCCTTACAAGAATGAAAGGCAGGATGTAATCATGTCAATTAATGATAAGTGAAGTTCCAAGTCTTGCTCAAATCTTATGTCAACCTAGTCCTAGGGTCTCTGTAAAAACGAGTAAGATATATGTTAAATTCTTCTTTTTGTTAAGATTATCTACTGTGCCCTAGTTAGATATTCACAAATTGTGTCAGCATACATTTCTTACAGATTATATTGTTAAAGCTGATTTTTATTTGTTTTTCTAGGAAAGAGGACAGAAATCCCTGTTCATTGTTAGGGCTAGCAACAGTAGCATAGTGAAAACAGTTACTTCCACCTCACACTTGTACCTCTTAGAACAAAGCATCTTCTGTTTTTAGGTTCTTGTCTTCAAACAAATCAATCAGGCTTCAAGGCACAGGAGAAAGAGGAGATTGCTGATCCATACCACTACTGAAAGACCAGATGACTCTGACCCTCTCCCAATTATTAACAAACTACCACCATCAATTTGTTAGGTTTCCAGGTGGTTTCATGCCTAAGGCAGGGTTAGAACTCTCTGTCTCCTGGTTTCTAGCCTTGTACCTTAACCACTACACCAAACTGGCTCTCACATCCTTATCTACAAGGGCCATTAAGGGGAGAGAACTTATATTAAATG